GACAACTAATCTGTTGATGAACACTGTTATCCGACACTCATACCGAAACGGAAGCATATTTTACTGGAATAAATCCAATTAAGAGGCCTGCACCATGTCTTGGTGGCATTCAAGCTACTTATTGAAGCAAATGCCGAAGACAGTTTCGTAATTAGCGGGGATATCAAATAAAGAAACTGAAAATTGAAGTAGCAGGGAGGGAAGACCTAGACCGCTTCATTATTTACTTGAAAAAAAGCGAAAACATTAAGATAATTAGATCAAATGGCAGGCGTTTTGATTGTTATCATTAGCCCTTTAGTTGACTTCAGGCTTCACAGAGGGGAAGGAACATCAAAGTATAAAAAATTCAAGAGGGGGGCAGAAGAGTGTATCAAAGACGAAGGTAGATTAGGTGAAAAAAGGTGGGATGAGTACTGTGAAGGTAGTCGAATATGACATACAGTGGGGTCATGGAAGTTTGAAGTCAGAAGTCAACTGCCGAATAATAGACTTTTTTGCCGTATGAGTATACGTTGCCCAGGGTTCACCACGTGGAGGTAAGTCTATCGCACACCCCACATTAAGATAAATAAAAGTCGAATTATTTTCAATGAATGAACATAAAATATCGTGAACACAAACGATATTGCTGTGTCATGGTCTATGCCATCGGTAAAAATAGCAGAAATAAATCAACTTAAGAATATGTATTCTATTCACCTTGGGCAGCTTCCTCTAATCAAAAAGCGTAGGTAGACAATAACTTAGACACATGAGCTAATAATAAAAAATAACAAGGAGCACAAATTGGCTGTAACAAAATATATTAATAATCACAATATATAAATTAGAGGCCGATTTTGATTGGTAAAAGAACAATTACATGGGATCCAAGTGAACCACAAAGCTCTCCGTCACTTGAGGGTACATAGACTCAACCAGTTTTGCATTGCTGTTAGCTAGTGCTTGAATCTAAAATTAGAAAAAATGTTCAATGGCAGCTACCCAATACTATTGGCTATTATTTAGGTTTAAAATGAAATAACCTCATCCAAATCCGATTGTCGCAAAAATGGCTCTGACAATATCACAACCGCATGACCAGAGGCCCTTGCCATAATACAGCCAGAAACAGGCAGATTCGTTTTCTTAGAAAATTGATTTCTGAAAGAAAATTAGGTGGCGTAAGCTAATAATAACCCAGCACTTCGAATCTCAGTATGCAACAAACTCACGCGTAATATTGAGCACGAGCTTCATAGTCCATGGGATCAAGGTAATTTTGTTCAGTTAAACCAGCATCAACTACTTGTCTGAATTACGCGCAAAGCATTTTTAAAATGGCAGAAAAACGGAGAGTGCATCGAGATACTATGAAGATAAAACTCACGTTTCTACACCCTTTAAAATATTAGTCATCATATCAGTAACATCGCCCTGTGCTTCCAACGTAGGATCACTAAAAGAGGTATTTCTACAAATAGTAACAAGAATTCCAAGAACAACTATTCAAGTCCACAGAATACTAAATAGGAATGTAAAGAAATTGATTTACAATAATAAATATCATACCGAACTGATAAATGGATAGGCACTCACACAGGAAAAGCTTCACGAGTAGCTTCGTAGTTTTCATTAATATCATTTATCAGCCTTTCTCTCTCTGAATCACCGGCCTGGCGAAATAATAAAATAGTTTTGAGATGGAGAATGAAATGACCAAAAATAAAAATAATGCTTACATTGGTCTCCTCTGACTGTCGTCTGCAACAACTTGCACAGAAGTTACCCATCTAACTAAACGTTGTAATTGCCATTAAGGTGTTAATCAAATAATCAAGAAAAAAAGAGGGTATTTCAGAGCACAGAATTTTATTCAAGGCAACTTCATAAAAAGCGAAAACAATGACCAGCGAATTAATGACCGTATCTAGAAAAGATTTAAAATGAAATAAAGGATTTACTTTTGAAACTCCCATTCTCTATTATCTAATGGACAAACATTTCTGGTCTTCAGCCAACGAGATATACAATGAAAATGAAAAGCGTGCTAAAATCATCAACTACAAAAAATAGAACTTACATTGCAATTACCCCAAGCAACTGTACATTCTTCGTTGCCCTCATTTGAAGGGTTTGCTTGACACTCAATACATAGATCCATAATGTGGTTACGACATATCGCACAATTGTCCACAACAATATCCCAAGCCCAAAGAGCAACAGCATTCCATTTTTTAATTTCAAAACGCTTTGATGTTGAATTTCCTCCCTTACCAAGTGGAACTTCATCAACCTCCATTCCCGACATTGTGATGCCTTTAACAATAGGCTGCAAAATAATACGAATGGGACGCAAATCGATTTCATATTATAAACAAATATCATAAGTTCACATTAAACTTTTAGACAGGCAGTCTAATTTTATTTCTATTACAATTTAAAACATAACTTTTTGTGTCTATTTGTTTCTTTAAACATATAATTGGATATTCAAACTTTTAGTACTTTATATTTTTATATTTTAAATTGAGGGATATGCGATAGACTTAACTCCATGTGGTGCACCATGGGCAACGTATACTCATACGGCTAAAAAGTATATTAACCGACAGTTGGCTTCTGATTTCAAACTACCATCACCCCACTGTATGCCATATTCGACTTCTTCCCCAGTACTCACCTCACATTTTTTTATACTCTTATATCTCTCTCTTTACATCTTTGAATAAATAAATATTTTAAATGGAGTTAAGGTAAATAAAAACTTTAAAACAATTCCTAAAACTTATAAATATTATAATCTTCGTTAAGTTGCTTATATTCTGTTTTATTATATAAACTCCATAATAAACAATAGCCCTAAATTTCCTTCGTAAATCCCATTTATTTTAGTGAAATACTTCTTTCACCCGATTTCACAAATGGCCAAAGCCATT